AGGCACCAATACAGCTAACATTAAATGGCCAGCGAGCCAAACCTTCCTTATCTTCTCCCAGTTTTCTTCTGTCTTACCGCTTCAGCTGCTGCTGACGTCTCTCTGTCCCCGTCTCAGAGTGACCGTAGCACCGGCAACGAGTCCAACTATGTTTTGAACGTTTAGCGCAGCTCACACAGACAATCGAGTGTCACACACACTTTTTTATTAAATCACACACTTTTTGTGGATCTGTAATTGCTCATGACGACATCGCAATTGCGATTAGATTAATCGTGCAGCCCTAATTGCAAGGTTTATGTTAAGTGAGGTCCTTGTGACCCAATAGCACAGAAATTAACCTGGCTGATTAAATATAAATCAGAACGATTAGGAATGATGGTCAAAACACAACAGTAAAGGCTTTAATTAATTCACCACCACTAATCACAGATCACTTTGATTCAAGTCAAATTCAAATCCACACATAACACTGAGGATTTATCAAATAACAAAAAAGTATATAACTTAACTTGGTCAGTGCTGCTGTGTGATCTTCTCCACAGGAGATGTAAATCACTCTCTGCGATCTAAGAGACTTCAACTGGGCTGGGAAAGAACGATCTGAAAAAGACATGGTGACAATTAGTCTGAGTTGAGGGCTTGAACGCTCACAAGTTGTTTAGGCTTTTGACCACCCACCATTGCTGTCATTGAGACCCAGCTGACCAAACTTGTTGCGCCCCCAACCAAACACCGCTCCTGAGAGAGTGAGGGCAAAGCTGTGAGCGCCACCTGCTGATATCTGAGCGAAAGGAATACCCTGCAGAGACTGAATGATTTGGGGTGTGGAAATGCTCTGTCCATTTATTCCTATCCCAAGTTGTCCATATCGATTCTGGCCCCAAGAGAAGACTTGGCCCCCTGTACAACGAAGTAGACATAACATGGAATATTTTAAAATGCGGAAAAAATAAACTGACTGAATAAATGTGCATAATGTGGGTACAAACCATCCTCACCTCTTGAAAGTGCATGGGAGTGCCAATACCCACAGGCTACCTGAGCAATTTGTACATCTGACAAACTCTTGATGTTTCTGGCATTTTTAAAGGGAGAAAAAAATTAATAGTTTTTTTTTTTAAAAGATATGATCATGTTTAAATAAATCCCATCAAAGTTGGGAAAGTTACTCTGATATTTAGATAAACATATGCTGATACATTTAGATATTTTAATTACACATCTTTAAATAAGCCGCGACCATGTGCGCAGGATAAGCAGTTGACGATGGATGGATGGATCTTTAAATAAGAAAGCACAATATCTATCCATCTGTGCAGAAAAACAGTAAGTGTGGAGAGCAAAAGAGACAAAACACAATGGCTCAAATGCAATCTCAGATCCCATCAGCTATTGTCAAACAATGATTTAGCTTTTAATTAATCTCGAAACCCTAGAAGTAAGTTTAGCACTGAAGAAAAAGTCTGGATATACGCTGGCTACACCGGAACCCCCGAAACATTGGCCGTTATCCCAAGCCCACAGAAAATGCGTCATGCTTTGAAGAAAATTTGGCTTAGTCACGAAAGAGCATTTCACACACACCTGAAAAAAAAAGTGAAGTTTGCATATCAGCAAATCAGTATGTAACCTCATGCAATGAGAGTTGCACACATTTAGAATATTTTCTCACAAAAAAAGATTCTTGGATATTTTTCTAGCGGATACACAAGTCAATAACTACAACTGCTTAAACCTGTCTGCATCCATCACTTTTCCATCCCAGCTTAGATGACACCACACCCACATGAGAAAAGCCTTGAGAGAATATGACAGCTACAATAACTCAGAAAATAACAACAAGAGGCACTGAATTTAATGGATTTACTGCTTATCAGCGTGTTGAGTAATGGGAAACTTCATTCTGAAGGACTATGAGTTAACAGTTTGAGTCAAGCATGGAGGATGTCTTTTGTGTGGCTCTGGTTGTATGTCTATGTTTTTGTTGAGGTTACTTCCAGATCCGCTTTTTGCTGCTAAAGCGTCTCTGGGTTACGTAGACCCACTAAAACCAAGTATTCATGAGTGAGGTAATTGTTCGTTGATCCTAGGTGTCGAAAGCTTCATACCGATTTTTACAATTTAAACTGAGGAGACATTTTAGTGGAACTACTCTCCTGACAGCTGTCTTGTGTGCGCAGGTTTAGCCAGTGAAAAAGAAAAACTTCCACTTGCAAAAAGGACATGCAGAAGTTTTATTGAGATTTTATGCTGAGTAATATGTATGATGTGAGGGCAAAAACTGCTGTTCAAAGAAACAGCACATAAAACCTGTAACTTTAGATAGTCCTGAGTAACAAAAAACGAATCTCCAACCAGGATTTTGATTCTGACATACAGAAAACCTCTAATTACTGCGCTTCAATACACACTTTAATATGGACTCTTATTGCATGAATTCACATACTGATTTGCGGAAGTGCACATTTTGTCAGTCCCTTCACATTTTTTGATGCTGTTGTGTGTGAAAGTGTTTCGCATCATATTCACGGCAGCAATTGTAGCAAAATTTTGAGTGTACAAACGAGTTTCTGAGATTTGTAGAATAGGATTTGTGCTCCTGCAATGAAGATTTCAGATGGTGTAACTGTTAAAAAAATGTTTTTAATGTCAAAAAAAAGAGTTTACAACTCTTAAAGTATTTTTTTCTGTGATTTCAAATGAACTTCAAATGTGCCACTATTTTAACTACAAATTCCACTGTCACAGGTGCTCAGTTGTTTTGCTCCAATAATACCTTCAAACAAAATACCAAAGCAAAGTCTGCGTATGTGTTTACCTACTAGGCAATAAAGCCGATTGTGATAAACAAAAAAGGCTTCATGCAAATCAGTAAATACTGCTGAATTTACCTAGGCACACGAACACATTCTTCAAAGTTATTTAGGCCCAACTGCCCATCTGAGCCGAGACCCCATGAGAAGAGCTGCCCTTTGTCATTCAGGGCGACTGTATGGGACTCTCCACATGACACCGCCACTATGATCTGTGCGTCCAGAGCCACAACCTGTTCTGATATGATACAAAGAGAAATCTTAATGTGTTAAGTGTTATCATAAAACAAACAAAAAAAATAATGTAAGTCACCAACCTGGTTTCTTTCTGGACTTCTCATGTCCCAGCTGCCCTAGGTCATTACAGCCACAGGTGTACACTGTCCCATCCTCCAGCACAAAGGCTGTGTGTCTGTGGCCACACCCCACATCACACACTTGCTTCCCGTGAAAGAACTCACATTTTCGTGGCTCAACCACAATCTCTTCATCAATCCCACCCAAGCCTAACTGTCCGTAGGAGGCATTTCCCCAGCACAGCATTGTAGCTCTCCCCTTTGGCTATAGAGGCCAGCAGGATCCCCGTCTCTGTGAAAACGAGAGACACCACTGCTAATATAACCTTACATAGCACATTCAGTTCTCCATAGCTGTGGTTGCAGAATACACTTCGGCTGGTATCACCTAGCAAGGTAGCCAGACAACGTTATGGCTAAATAATGTTAACGTTACTTCATGTAATAGGCGCATATGTGATTAGCTTAGTGCAGTATTTCAGATATGATTATATGTATAACCTAATACAATTACACTGCACTCGTAGCTGGCCAGGTAACATGTAAACAGATTAGCCAACTAAGATGCAATAAAATTAACGGGGTAGATGGGATCCGTTAGCTGAAATCATCAAAATAACGCGACTTCCGTTTTGGGCGTCTGGAATTCCAAATTAAAACACACGTCTAAACCCGAATACATGTATTTCTAATATTTGTTTTTAACCACATTGAACACACACATAGGAGCTCAACCTAATGGCGCTATCATAAAACTAATAAGTGCCTTGTTTCTTCTGAGATGTACAAGAATAATTCAAAACGGAAGTTGTTGTGACTGATAAAGACAGCTGACGGTTACTAACCAACTAACAGCATGCCTCTCGTTCCTTCACCGTTTCATTTTCAAGCAGTCATGGCTTAACCGTATTAATTTGGCATTACTTAACGTAATAGTACAGTCAGCAATGACGGTTGATGATTTATGGAAGTATATTTTAGTTAAAGCGTTTGACACGTGGGAGCATTAATATAACGTTAGCTTAACGCGAGTCTTTCTGTAAAGGTGCTGTAATGTTAGCAAGCTCTGCTTAGTCAGAACATAACGTAATGTAACTAGTTAACGTTAGCTAAGAGTTAATTTAGTAAGGTGACTGAAGTAACTTATAGAAACTAAAAGATATTTTAAGATTATCCCTTTACGTTTTGCGAAAGCAGTTAACAAGTGAACGTAACGTTACAACCTGCAGTTACTCAGCCGAATAGCAAATCTTAACAAACCCTCCAGATCTTACTGTCTGTTTTTCTCGCTAGCTGGTCCGTTAAATGCTGACATAACAGCACATTTTCGGTATTTAGTTGTAAAAAAAAAAAATCTAAATTACCCAATCCCTCCACTCCAGTGATCTGTCAACAACTGATCCAAGTTACAGCGAAGAAACGTGTCACCTTAGCCGTACTACACCGTGAATGTCCGGTTTTTCTTTTAGAAATAAAACCTGTTTTGTAGTAGCATACAAAATGCGAGCATTCTAGTTTCACTAGGCACTGAGATGAGTACTGTACTGTCAGCCTGTAAGAGTACTGCCAGGATGATCTGAACATGTTACTTACTAAATGTACCGTAAGTGTATGTGTAGTAACCTTTAATCTGAAGGCACGCTCATTTAACCGGAAGTAATACTGCTTTTACGTGCACTTTACTTTATGGAGGTGAAGAAACGTCGCGACGCATCCACGGTGTTCTAGATGGGACGCACGCGCCCATGCGTCTCCCTGCAGCTATATATGTACACACACTGTATGCAGAAGAAAACACTCACGCCACCCCAAACACACACACACACACACACACACACACACACACACACACACACACACACACACACACACACACACACACACACACATTTCTGTAAATATGCGAAAGTACATCCTACACATCGTGTATCCACGTTGCATGTATAGGCCTATAGCTGGGTGTAACTAAAAGGAAAGGTGCGAGAGACGACGTAACTACCATAGTTGTACATACATAAACTTGGTAAGGTTCTCAGTGTTTACATTATCTTTACCATCTCTAATTAAAATACATCAAATATAAATGCCTACGAAATAAATACAAAACAATATGAAGAACTATGCTACAGGTTTCAAAAAGAATGGGGGGGAAAAAACTACAGCCTATATAAAAACACCTAGATGTCTATAAAGTTTAAAAATATTGGCTACTATAAAGAACACTAAAATTCATTAATTTGATTAATGTTATGCAAAATACCCCATCGATTACAACATTGATATTATACTATAAAGCGTTTTATTCTATTTTGCTCACTTTATGCAAGTATGTGTCTACTGGAAGGATCTGGAACTTATCTGCTGGACCTTATTTGCCCTGAACAAACCATATTAGGCAACATGAGTAAGAGGCCATAAATGTGGTCTTTGAGACATTTGGCTCCCTCTGGTGGAATTACACATTTATAATAACCAATGCACTCATATTTATGTTTATGAAAAAAGACCAAGTAAATCATATGACAGTGTTTACATTTACTCACATTTGAGGCCAACTATACTAACAAAGAATATCTGGACGGGGATGTCTTTGATGATATACAGGACAACAATAAAAACATCTTTGCCCCCCTCTGGTGGGGCTGATGGATGAAACTAATCATATAGCATACCCTTGCCACATCAAAGTGATAAAAAAACGGATTCTCATCATTTACTTAGGTCAAAGTACGTTATTCCCTCTAGTGGAGCAAAAGTTTAACATGACAAAAAATAAAAGTACTCAGGTAAGTACCTCAAAACTGTAATTAAGTACTGCATATGAGTAAATGTACTTGGTTACATTCAACCCCTGGTGATTCATAACATTTGACATTAAAATTTGAGTGGACCACCACCATAAAAAGGGCTTTAGTGGTGTTGATTTTATGAATAAATTAGTAAAAGAAATCTATCACAACACTTTTGGTTTTATATTGTATATCACAGAGTCTAGCCCTTGGTAGCGCTACATAAACTTGTTAACCCCATACATGATTGCCTTATTGTATTCTTGCTATAGGTCAGAACCTGGTTTTTGCCAACCACAGCAATAAGTATATCAGATGTAAATGGCCTTAAAATGGACAGGCAGTGGTTAATCTTAACTTGTGTTTCTCAATGTGCATTTAAATGTGAAACCATAAACCATGAGCCAGTTGTAGCTTTTATCTTTTATTGTTATTTGCAGGTGACAGAGAGATATAATCTAAACTGGAAACTGCTTTAACACAGAAATGTAAATATAGACCTCTTTCCAAAACAACCGCCCATTTTACACTGACATTTGCGTAACAACACATTTGTCTAATGAATAACATCTATCAGGAGTAAGAAAAGGTGCTCCTTGAAATGCAGTGAAACCTGTACTGCTGGATCTTCATGGGTGTTTCTTCCCTTGTGACTTAGGCACTATGATCTGATGTGTCAGAGCAGGAGGAACTTATTTTACTCCCAGAAAGGTATAAATCAGCACACATGCAGGATAATACCAAGAGAAATAAACATGTTGCAGTTGCTGGGAGTAAGTAAAAACCTCTTAAACATTTTTTTTTTTGCTGTGAGTAAGCATCAATGTCAACTAATCAAAGTTTTTGTCTACTGAGGACTGTGACATGGGCTATTGACTGGTGTTTTCTTTTAACATGCTCAGATCGTTGTTGGCCTTCTCTTCGTCATCATGTGCTTTTCAAAAGGACTCAAAGAGGTGAGTAAACCTTTACAAAACCTTACTGTTTTCTTTTGATGGAAGATCAAAGATGTTTTTAATGTATATTGGACAAACAATAAGACATAAATTAACATTTAAAGGACAGAAGCATACATAAACCGTACTGCAGCTGCTAGAGGAAGTGACCAGGAAATAAAGTTTGATTTTCTGAAATTATAATTATCTTTGACAGGGAAATAAACCTCAAAAAATACAAATACCTGAATCATCTGCCAACAACAAGATGGTGAGTAATTATCCAAAAGTAAATTCTCTGTTTATTTGTAATAATTGGAATTAATTATTTTACACTCATCTCTTCGACAGAAGGATCTGAGTGAAGAAGATGTCCATATATTGGCCAAGATCCTTTCAGTTGGATTGGTGGATGCAGACCCAAACTATCTCCACCATCTTAAAGGCTACAGAGACTTGCATGTTAGCTAATTTCCCAGCCTACTTACATTAATTAATGAGCAAACACATCTGTTCCCGGTTATATGGATAGATTTGGGATGACATAAAGGCTCTTCAGCATTGTGATTGGATTACCACAAGTCAAGTGCTTCACCCCCCCCCCCCCAGATGTTCCATGATTAATGGAAAATATGCACTTTATTCTGGTAATGAAGAAGGAATAACCTGTCACTGGTGCTTAATATGGATCATTTTGATGATGGATCCTGATTGCTTAATTTATTGCCTAACTGTATAATTTGAAATATGTGAATATGTGCAGAAAAGAGCCTCTGATTTTACTTTCAACACCTGCTTCTTTTTTAATCAGGAAATGCAGAAATTGAAAATGCAGAAATAGGAGCACTCCCTGTATTGTTGTTAGTGGTACTTGCTTTATTTGGCTTGTTTTATTCAAGTGATTTTCAATGTTACATACCACTTTGTTAAACTGTAAACCTAAACTATTTAATTTACATCTGATGCAGCCTATGTTTTAAATCAGGAAATGCTTAAAATGAAAATATAGAGATAGGAGCATTGCTTATATTGTTGTCAGTGGTTTGCTTTATTAGGCTTGTTTTATTCAAGTTGTTTTTAATGTTACAAACCACTTTGTTAAACTGTAAATCTCTATCATTATATTATCTCTATCATTACAATCATTATCTGAGGTATGTTACACAATTCAGCTGTTGCAGGCAGTTTTAGTACAGATAGCAATAAATCCCTTTAAAGTTAGAGAAGGTCATTTTTCCTTAACTTAGCTTAGCTTCCTTCGCTAAATAGGCCACAATTGATTATGAAATAATACCAGCTAGATTTGAGCTAAATGCAAACTAGTAGTTTACTGTTTGCTAAACAATAGTTTAGCATTTACCTAAAATGCTGAACTAATGTAACAGTAGCACAATAAGAATCAGAAAAGTGACTCAGTAGTGTGCAGTATACAATAGTATTTACCTGAGGTTTGCTAACTTTAGCTAACATTATTAAGCTGCTGTCATGGTCATACCGGACCAACAAAGGCTGTAGCAGGCATAACCCCTGAGCAATGGTGCATTTTATTGATATTGATACATATTTTCATTTGTAACAGAAAGAATGTGTTAGTTCTTTCAAAAGTTACGGTTTCGCTTCAAGGGATTATTAATTTACCATTTGTATTTGGAAGAGAGGCTGAATTACTTTGCTTCTGCTCTCTTTTGGTTCATGTCCTTACCTACAGTAGACAGACAAAGATAGAGAGATTAGAGAAAAATGAACATGTCATCCATTGTTTGTCTCCAGTGGCAAACTTAATGTCTCTTACTCCAGAAATGGCTGTTGAGCTTGTCCCCTAGCGCGTAGAGCAAGGCCACCACTGACATGTTAAAAAAGAAGAAGACCACCAGACCAACAGTGCTGAAGTGCCCTAGTAGGGGATACACCCAAATTCCAACTGACAAGTACACCCATATAATCCTGCAGAACATGTTTAAAGAGAGAGACAGGGGAAGAAAAGAAACTGTCAGTACCACTGTATCTGTCAGATCATCAAGTACTGTCTTGTTTCACAGAACTAGGCTATGTCTTGTGCAAATATTCACTGGCACAGTTCCAGCCATTAACACCAAAGACACGGTTTGATTGTAAGATTAACAGCATAATAAAAAAAATGTCATCCACAACACGCAGTATGTTGTTTTTTACCATGAAGATGTTTAGGCAGCATTTCAGCATGTGAGCCAGAACTATTGAAGGTTCAAATCCTCAAGGTGTTTGAATTATGAAGTGATAAATGCTACTGCTTTGGACTAGTCGAGACTAGTTACAGTAGGAACACAGACACATTCAGGCTGCTGTGCTTTTAGCCACATTTAGCTGTATGAAAGGTTCAGTCAGGGAATTAAGTCAAGAAGTATTTTGTTGCTTGAAAATGCTTTAGTGTTTGTGTGTTAGATATATGTCTATAAAAGTTTGGAAATGTGTTGTCATGATTCTACTGTATGCTGACTCAACACTTACCAGAACAAGTAAGACAAGCCCACAACTCCTAACGCTGCCAGCGCATGTTTAGTCTGTGGGTAGATGTGAGGCTGCACCAGCACTTCTCCAAGCAAAAAAGGAAGGACGAATGTGTGCTGAGAAAACAGTATAGGAATAACACATTATGTGTAACGGTTTATGACAGGAGAATCAAGAGAATTCAAATTTTGGCATACAGCTGTTGAAATTGCAGATTTACAGACCATAGCATGGTTTATCCAGGAGGGGAAGAAGGTGTCAATATTAGCCGGGTAGACTAATTCTCTGTCATAGGCAAAGATCGCCCAGAAAAGCAGAACAACGAACTAAACGAAATGCATAGAACATGGAGTTAATGTGTAGCACTATTCTTCTTTTAAAAATAATTTAAAAAAGCAAAAGATGTGTTTCTCACCATGCCCACAGGGAAGGCAAAGATAGAGAAGAGAAGGTCTTTAAATCTGTTCAGAGCACTGTCAGACTTTTCCCCAAGTTGCAGATCAGTCAAAGCAGCCAGTCCAAAGAATGACATTTGTAATAACTGAAATATAAAAAGCAATATTATTCATTTCCGTTCCAGAAATTAGTAGTAATGTATTACTACTATTATTACTAGGTAATGTCGGAAATGTACGCACCAAATTCAAAAAAGTAAGGTATTTCCAAGGTCCTCCATAAGGAAAGATTCCTGGTGGTAATGCCTCTCCATCCTTAGCAGCGAGACTTTTAACCACGAAAGCATACCAGCTGAAGGCTGTGATGTGGTACACTCTCCTCAGGGTTGAAGTCATTCTAATACAAGCGAATACTGATCCCCAACAAACAAAAATAAATTAATTACTGGCAAAAATGTCTCTTCAAACTATGAGTTTTCCCTTCTAACCTGACGTACTTCAGGCAGGGAAGGTTATTTAAAGATTAGTGTAATTCAGCATTAGCTTTTCAAGACATTTGCGAGCAGTGGCGACAAAGAGTCCCACTGTTTCTTATGAAGCACAGGAATCCTTATTTCATAACCAACACACTGTAACATGTGACTGGGTGGTCATTTCATTCACAGCAAGTGTTAATCGGTTTCGTAGTGTTTTGCAAGAAGCGCCACCAAGTTATGTAAATAAATGAGTTCAAGTTAAGTAAGTAGTATCATTGAACAATGGTTGATTCTGTGTTGTCATTATGTGTCCGGAAATCCTGAAGTGTCCTTGAGCAACATGTTAAATTCCAGCCAGCATCAGGTATTTTGTTAAGTAGTTGACCTTGACCTCTGAACCTCCCGATGGAGAAGCACATATTTTTTGTTGCCACATTTTGTTCCTTGTAATATAAATTAGATCATGAGGTAGAAATACATCTCTTCCACACACACATACACAAACATAAATTAATTCTTCATTATTCTGCTTAGGAGAGCAGTTTTCACAAGCTCACATGGGCTCCAGCAAGCTAATTAATACAACTTTACCAATTTGTTAAGGTCAAAATGCCTAAATGTATCATGCAATCAAAAAAGAGCTACAACATGCCAGCAGCCTTGTGAAGCTGTAACGCTCATTTCACTTCAGAAAAAGCCTTACCTTTAGGCAAATCAAGTGTTATGTTTGGTTTTTGAGTTTGTGTGTTTGGAGATTTGCATGGCAGTGGTAACTGATATTTTTGGCCTAAGGGTGGTGCTAGAGGAAAAGTTATTGTGGTGAGACTCATGAGAATCTTGTGCAGGCTTGGGAATCGTGTCATGTTGCCTAAGATGTTACCATGATACAGAGAAGATGATTCTACAATATGGAGTGTATTACAATAAATTACGATACATCACAAAATCTATGTATAACATCTCTGTCACATGGCAAAATATTATAATATTATATAAAGGACATGTTGGTCACATTTGCAGCTCCACAGATCCTCTCATTAAGCTGAAGAAGAGAAAGACATGTTCATTCATTCACATTCAGCAACTGAATTTCAATCATGTCATAAACCAAGAATTGTTTAAAATGTCATTAATGTCTTATTTTTACAGGCATTTAAGACCTGAGTGTTGTGGAAATAAAGTAAGCCAGTTTCAGGTGTGATGAAGAAGTTTCGGAGACAGATGAAGACTTACACAGCATTGTTTATTGCGCCTGGCCGTGGAGATACAGTGCCAGCATACAATGTGTGAACACATGCAATGCCAACACCAAATGTGAAGGATACTTCTTGTCTGGGGATTCACTAAGTGTCCAAATCAAGTCAAGTCAATCTACCAAGCAGGCAGACAGGAGAGAGAGTCTGACCTACTGTCTTGGAGAGGCACAGGCTGTCACCTTTGTCTTACTTTAGCTCAGCAACTGACCCTATAATCACTTGGGGAAACCTGTGTCATAGTAGCCCTAAAATGCCTTCAAGCTGAGAAGTCATGACACTTGTGTTTCCAGGAAGTACTGTCTTTGCAGAACATGTTATCTGGTTTTAGAGACATAAAAAAAAAGAAAGGCCTTTTTTACAGAAGACATTTTGACATGTTGTGGTAGGAAAATTAATGATGGCTGAATTGCTTTTAGCTGCTTCAGTATTAAGGTCCTGGTCACTGTCACATTGTCATGACTCACTGGGACACTTGAATAGAATAAAGCAATGGTTAATGTTACTAGCAATCCCTGGGGGTTTCCTACTAAAACAAGTGAAATTGTGTTAAAGAAAATCTGTAGAGGCCAAGATATTATTACTTTTTTGTCTGAATATATATAGGGGTTTAATGAGTGAAACGCTGGATCCTACACTTAATATAACGCATCTCAATAAGAGTCTCCACAGACCATCTGGGTTAAATGTCAAGTTTTAAAATGACATTTATACTGTCCTTATTCCCTTTTGTTTATGACTTGATTATTATTATTATTTAACAATTTAACATAATAGTATACAGTATGTACTTAAAGATAACAGGCATTTTTCACAGATAACCTTCACGTTACACTAGGAAAGTGATAAAATATTGGCATGTTGGTTCACTGTCATGGCTTACTGGATGAAAAGAAAAGCTTCTCTCTGTAACTTCCTTTTCCAATGTTAGACACAAGTCAGAAAACATATTTGAGAAATTTTATTTACAAGTGTTGCTGAAGACAGGAATCACACATCTGTTATGAAAAGTATAACGTTCAGAGCACAATCTACATAGTTATGTGAATTCTTTGCAGTTTAAAAATATTTTGTTTCAATGTACAGGTATGACAAGTTTTAATTAAAAAAAGGCATTTTTAAGGAACAATCCAGGAAAGAAATCCCATATTTTGTCACTTACTCTCACTTGTGGAATCCATACTTTAGCTTTGGCTTTCATGGCCCAAAATTACATTTAACACTTTACATATATTTCCTTACATTTGTTTGTTTCACAAATCATCTAAAAAAATTATTTAGGTGATTCGGGTAATTTGGGTGAACTGACCCTTTAAAGCAACCAGTCACAAGCTTGGAAAATTGGCATTTAACCTCAATGGCTCTGAATAGAAACAAAAAACAGTGTACTGTGTGGTGTGCAATGAATTAAACATTAATATTAGCCTATAGATACATCATGTTACATCATGCTTCAATTCTGTTACAAACTCAGGGTTATTCATCATGGATTCAAAGTTCTATATAATTACATGGTTCACAAACATGTAATTATCATAACATCTTTAACATGATTGTGAAACAATACAAAATATTGTATACTATATTACAATTTTACAGACTCAGACAGCTTTTCTATTACACTTTCATCTATTCACATTTTGTCTTAAAACTAACTAACATTAATGTAATGGCTGTCAGTGCTGTAAAAAAGGCAAGGACAGGTCTCATCACAGAAACAATCTGTTGCAAACATTGCACTTAACCCATGCAGTCAGTAAAAACATATCTGATTACACACATGTAGTCTAAGTCTGCATACTTTTCACACTCGATTCACCCAGTAAGACTTTTGTTGGTCGTGGCACACATTTGGACATGAGGTTTGTATAAATTTTTATCACTGGTAGTTATATATAGTTAGTTATGCTTTAAAGATCAGTGTTATTTTTGAAGCATTTTTTGTTGTATCTGTTGAAATTCTCTGTGGGGTGGGATTTCTTTCAGTTGGATACTTTCAAAATCTTGCTGTCTCTTTCTAGTTTCAACAACACTGCATATACCCTAACTTTAATATATTTATAGCTCAAATCGACTGTAAACTTTCCTTGTGTTCCTTATGCTCTGAATCCTCTCCAGCGCCTTCTCGCGCTCCTGATTTGACCTAGGCGGATCTTTGCTGAATGACCTGATCCCTCCTTCTTTCTCCCTTTTGGCATTTTTGTCAGCTTTGTCTTCTTTCTCGTCATCAGTGACAGGAGCCTCTTTGGCAGCCTCGTTCCTGCTTTGGTTATTAGCAGAAATTTGCTCTAGAAGCAGCTTTGTATCGTCTCTTAGGTTGCTGCTTGAAAGCACGTTGGCAGTTGATGTGTGGTAGCGAGACTGGCTTGATTTTGGCTGCTTGGACTGTGGTGACGGAACAATGACTTCATCTGATGTGATATCTGACAGTCTGGAGCAGTTATTTTGCCTTACTTGGTCATTTGTTTTCTCACTGCAAACCAATTCCTGTGTAGTCGTTTCATCAACCTTATTAGTAGCCTCGTTGTTGTCTCTTTTTTTCTCACCAGAGTCAGGCATTTCAGACTGTTTGCTTACTTCATTCTGACCATCCACCTTACTATTTTCAGCAGGTACAGGTGGCTCTGAAGGGTGGGTTTCAAAAGTCACAGATTTAGGAGGTTTGCTTGGCAGATCCGGCTGAGTTGGGACTTCTGAGTTAAGCTCAGTTGGGCTGGAAGTTTCTGCTGATGGCCACATTGGTGTTTCATCTGAGTCTGTTGTAACCTGCTTGGGAAGAGTGTTCGTGTCTGAGGGGCTATGCAATGCAGACAATGTTTTTTCAGCCACAGGGGTCAAAACCAACCCACCTGACTCAGTTAGAGGAGAAGAACATGACATTATTTCAGCAGGAGTGGGAGTGAAAGGTCCTGTCAGATTAAGTTCGGAGGGAGGGGTTGCTTGTATTGGTGTATCTTGAGGAGATGCAATTGTTTCTGACTGGGAAGCATTAGGAGTAAAGTGTGAATGGACAGGAGAACCTTTTTCTGCTGCCTCATTTTTGTCACTGTCCTGATCCTGCAGGTCTGAAGCAGTTTTGGTATCTTCAGAAGTTTGCTGTGGCTCCAGAGAGCTGAATATCAGAGAGGAAGAGCCTCTCTGTAATGCTGCATTGAATTTTCTATGAACCGACTCCTCCCTTTGAACAACAGTAGTTTTTGGTTCCTTTTGCTCCTCTGCCTTTTCTTCTTTAGTTGTGGATGATGATTCTGAAGGTGTTGTTCTGCATGGCAGTTCATGCTCGGTTGGGACCTTTGGGGTAGGCTCAGTTGGACTGGAAGTTTCTGTGGATGGGAGCATTGGTTGTTCGTTTGAGTCTGTTCTAACCTGCTTGGGAAGGGAGTTAGCATCTGAGGTTTTGTGCAGTGCAGACAATGTTTTCTCAGCCTCGGGGGACAAAACTGAACCAAATGACTCGGTTAGAGGAGAAGAACATGACACTATTTCAACAGAAGTGGGAGTGACAGGTCCTGTCAGATAAAGTTCGGAGGGAGGGGTCGATTGTATTTGTGCATCTTGAGGAGATGCAGATGTTTCTGACTGGGAAGCATTACGAGTAAAGTCTGGATGGACAGGAGAACTTGTTTGCGCTGGAGAACACTCAGGTGAAGGGTCTGCTGGGGAGGGAGTAGGAGTCATAGTTTCCTTTTGATCAGATCTGGATTTATTTTCCAGATCAGATGCATTAAGTAAATATGACTCAGGAGATGGAGGTCTAAGGCTGGGAGGTGTGCTATCAGCTTTGAGATCCTTTGGTGAGCCAAGAACCTCAGATTCTTCTCCCACACCCTTTGAAATATGGTCTGATGGGGAGGGGGTAGGAGTGGTAGTTTCCTTTTGATCAGATCTGGATTTATTTTCCAGATCAGATACATTAAGTAAATATAACTCAGGTGATGGAGGGCTAAGACTAGGAGGTGTGCCATCAGCTTTGACACCCACTGATGATCCATGAACCTCAGATTCTTCTCCCATACTCTTTGAGATAGGGTCTGCTGGGGAGGGGGTAGGAGTCATAGTTTCCTTTTGATCAGATCTGGATTTATTTTCCAGATCAGATACATTAGGTAAACATGACTCAGGTGATGAAGGGCTAAGACTAGGAGGTGTGCCATCAGCTTTGACACCCACTGATGATCCATGAACCTCAGATCCTTCTCCCGCACTCTTAGATATTGAGTTGTTTTCTGATTCAGGAACATCTTTTTCTAAAGATGTAGGAGCACAAGATTCTTCTGTCTTTGAAGTGGATTGTAATGAGGATGTGTCCGGCTCTGAACCAGCAGCATATCCATCAGGAGAAATATCAGATCCCACATGTGCAGACTCAACTGCTCGGGTCTCGTGTGACATCAGTTGGGAAACAGAATATAGATGAGCTTGGGTAGATTCACTTTGGCTGATAGCAGAAGCTGTCGATTTTTGTAAAATTTCCTTAACTGACTGGGAAGGTTCTGCTTGTGGAGGGCTGACAGACTCCTGTGCATCTGGGGACAATATGATGGAAGTTAGGGTTGAGCTTGAGTCTTCTGGAGTAACAACAGAAGATATGATCTCTGCTGGAGTAGAAAGAGGAGCAAAGATTGAGGGTGAAACACTTGGACTGATCTGTGACCCAGAATCTGGCAGAATGCATTTTACTGATGGGCTAGAAGAGCTTAATTGTGATCCAGTTTGTTGTTCAGATAGATGTGGAGAAAACGAGATGCTGGTTTCCAACTGAACTGATTCAGGACTTTGAGTGTTAGAATCCAATACAGCAAATGCACAAGTTGGTGCTACCTCCGCTGAACTGGGAGTGAGTGAGCTAGAGTGCTTTGAGGTAGAATCTAGACAAGGGCTTTCACTTTCATCAGTACCTTGTGCAAGAGAAGGAACATTAGCAGGAGTAGCATGTGTTGGTGTAGGTGGATGGCTGGATCTACTCTTTTTTACAGAAGGATCTGACAGCTTTGATTCTTCTGGTGGTTTGCTCTGAGTTGCTATTGTTTCTACAGAAACAGGCAGAGCTGCTGCAGAGTGGCTGTTTTTAAACTCTGTCTTCTCTGAATCAGTTGGAACACTGGTTTGTTCTTTTTTACAGCTTTGGGAGGCATTGGGATCATTCTTGACCTGACTGTCCTCCTTGTTAGTCTTATCACTGCCATGTAAAGGTAGACTGACTGACTGGCATGTTTCTGTAGATACCGCTTTCCCTGCATCCTCTGCAATATCATTTTTTTCTGATAAACCTTTGGCTGTTGACGTATCAGCCATCAGTTCTGAGGTTTCTTTTGGTACAGATTCCTCCTTTTTAAGAGTGGTATTGTGTTTTAGTTCAGTTGGCGGTTTCATTGGTGCCTTCTCTTTGCTCTTTTGAGCTTCTGCAGCCTTAGCGGATTTGCGTTTTGCTGCTAACTCTTTGAAAAACATGAGCCTCTTATCAGGATCACTCATATCTAATGGACTGGTGAGCAAATATCTGGGTGGTTGTGCTGGTGGATCAGTTTTGGGCAGCTCAGCTTCAGAATGCTTGGATCGGGGCACTGATGGTGAAGAATTTGCTTGCTCTACATCTGGCAGTTTTAAAGACTCTTGTACTTCACGGTTTTCTGCAAGATCCACTGAATTCAGATCCTTTGATGAATCTTTATCATCTGCTTTACTGTTTCCATCAGCTGGTTTGGATGAGTCAGTGGCAGAGTTATCAAAGCTAGCTGGCTTTATGTAACGGCTCCATTCAAAAGGTTCCCTTGCAGCAGACCTCCTTTGTCCCAAAACATGTGCAAAAGGCAGTTTTGTCTGTTCTGCCTCATTTTTGTCACTATCCTGATCCTGCTGGTCTGAAACAGTTTTGGTATCTTTAGACGTTTGCAGCTGCTCCAGAGAGCTGAATATCAGAGAGGACCTTAATCTAGAGCTCCTCGGTAATGCTGCATTGTATTTTCTACGGAACGACTCCTCTCTTTGAAGACCAGAAGTTTTTGGCTCCTTTTGCTCAGCCTCCTCTGCCTTTTCCCCTTCACCCTCCTCTGCCTTTTCCTCTTCAGTCGTGGATTCTGAAGGTGTTGCCACTGCAGTAGGTTCATTAGTCAATTTCCTAGTCTGTTCTTGTGCAGTCATTTTGGCATAACTTGGCATCTGACTTGCCCTGGGTTTTGCAGGAACCTTAAACTCTCTGACATTAGGGATTTTAGGGACTGATGAATACATGCCAGGTGCTGTTTGCTGTATGTGGTTAGAGGGCTCTTCAAAAGGATCTGGTGCATTAGGTACCGCCAATGGCAGGTCTTCATCTCCTGGATTATCACATGCACTGAGGTATGAGCTAATCCTCCAGTTTCTTAGCCCCTGTTTCACCATAGGATCCTTGCGGTCAGTGTTAGGCTCCTGGAAAAAATGCTTCTGATCAGTTGGATTTGAGGGGGTGGGAGATGTTTGGCAGGCATATGGCTGGCCTACACGCAACCTTCTAGGGTGAGAGGAACTAAACGGTACATCTGCTACAGGTAGTAATTTCTCTGGTCCCTGGTCAAAGCCTACATTTCTGGTAGATGATAAATAGTTGAGCACAGGGTCAAAGCTATCAGGTGGTTCCATCTCTTGTGTTAAACCAGGGTCTGAATACTGATCTGCTGAATGATAGTCTTGGTTCCAGAACTTGTCATAGCCACTGTAATCTGGTTCTACTCCTGGTCCTGGATATGGTTGCTTCCCCCTTTGAATCTGCCTTCCCTGGTTCTCAGGCTCTGGCAATCCCTGTTGCTGCAGGAATGAGTAAGGGTATCTACCATGAAGACCTTCAGCATAACTGTGACGTTTGAAGGCGGGATTTTCCATCATCCTGGGGGTGCCCTGATCAAAAGCCGGATCCATGCGTGATTGCTGGGATGGAAACCTGTTGTACATATCTGCAGGGCCGCGCAAGAATTCCTGCCTTTTAAGGGGCTTCATTCTCCAATCCATATCCATACGTTCGTCATAGGAAGGGATCGCCCATTCCTCTGTATGAGCAGCGTCCACTGATGGGAATGTCCTTGGCTCTCTGTACAGAGAAGTTATTTCACCTGGGTATTGCCTCTGTGGTAAAAGGCTGAAATCTTCCACTGGAGCATTTTCAATCACCAGTGGTTGGGACTGAGCAAACAGAATACGGAACTCTTCATCAAAGGTCGATACAAGTTGTCCAAGGAAAAGGTGGGCCATACAGCGGTGGAGCTTCTCAAACGACCACATGAAGCTGGACAAAAGACATGACAATAAGTATGAAATAAATTGCATGTCACAAACTGAGTACATCATAAAAACACAAATAAATCACTCCAATTCTTGTGTGGTATAAAATGAAGAGATGTGGCTCTCTGTGGCCATTTTGAATGGGCTCACCTGTAGTTTCCGCTTAGCACGGCCCTGCAGTCTGTCAACAAGAAGCGATCCATCATCTGACCATTGAAGGACTTCCCTGAGCGGCACTGATACGTGATGCCAGACACTGTTCTTACACGTAAAAACTGCAAGACATATGTCAAATCACCCAAGGATGAATTTTAAGCTGAAACTGTACATATAGTGATGTTAATATTTTAATAGGTAGGTGGCAGCATTAACACTACAACAGTTACTACATTTTATATCAATGGGAAAATACTTTTTTATCTATACGCTACTTACTGTATATATCAGGGACAATATACTGTATATTAATTAACATCCTTGTGATGTAAATGTGTTAGATTTGTTCAAATGGCTAAATATAATCTGAGTAGGCACATAAAAACAAACATGACAGGAACAACATTACAAAGGACAAACTAGCATAATATTACAGGCATACACAAGAGGCACAAAGCACACATTAGCGATGAATGGTCGATACTGCGGGATTGATACTTCAATACTCACAAGCTACTCATTTGGTATAGATTCCTTTAAAAATAAAAGACATAAATAAAGAAAGTGGGTGGCTGCATCACTCCCAAATGCTTTCAGTACTTTTGTGCAATTTTTGTGCCAATAAACAGCCCTGACATATTTAGCTGGCCCGTGTCATGTCAGCGAGTGGACAGCTGCATCAAACTTGTGAGAGGTGGGAAAGGAAACATTGCGTGGTGTGCAGGGCTGTGATTTTGAAAAAATATCTAATTGCAATTATTTTGAATGATATTGCAATTGCGATTCAATTTGATAAGGAATGAAAATTTTTACATAATTATTCTCATTTTCATTGAAATACATATGTAAATTATTATGGTATGATTTTTGCCAAAGGATCTGTAAGTCGGTAGAATTTGATGTGTAGGCCAGGACATCTCTGCGTCACGACAATATTTAATTTAAAATGGTATTTTGATTGCCAATATTGCGGTGGTTCAGCCCTAGTGGTGTGGTGCTACTTTTCACTTTTTTGTAGATAAAAAAACAGTAGGATGGACTATTTGTGACTAGAAAGTGCCACAAAGAGTGGAAGTTGCTCTGGAAAAATCCTTGTCTGTTTGAGAAGATTAAGAAATCTTTCAGAAATTGCAAATATGGGATAGGTTTTATGTTGTTGTCTTTTAATTTATATCATTTATATTATGTTATAATCATAGTATTTTTGTAATATAGCACAAACCTTTTTATTTAATTGTACTCATATTTACTTTTGTCATACATTTCTTATTGATGGCCGGTATGTCTCATGTGATTTACCTTGACCTTACCTAAGTGTAATGATCCTTTTATTTCAGTATTGGTATTGTTAAAACAAACAAAGAGTATCGGTATCATGTAGAATTAAAAAAGTTTGTTATCGGCAGCACACACACAGTCAAAGCGAACAGGTAACATGATACAGCATGCAAAGTACATGACAAACAAAGCAACATACAAGAAAAAGAAAAAAACATCATAGGCAGCATCGAGGGTTGACAATATTACTCATGATATACAGCATGTAAGATTTACATCGCTGGACAAAGCATAATGAAGGTGTTAAATTTCTTGTTCTCTGTTGTTTAATACATTTCCAATAATAGTTCTCTCAGATCAGTTGGAAGTGCATGCCAGCCATGTGATGTTTAGAAAGAACAGGCTGATAAGTTTCTTTATTTGTATGATGGAGTCACCTCTAGCAACAGCTGTAGTGTACAATACTTTGTGACTTTCCTACACTTTTTTGTCTTTTGCGGTTAGCCCCAAACCCAGTCATTCCTACTGTACTTGTTGGAGACTATTTTCAGCTGCGGAATAATACAGCAGCAGAACAGTCCCACCAGTTCCCATGTTCATCGTAATGAAGTAGAACATGAAACCCAGTGAAACAGTGTGGCTCAAAAATATGTTTAGAATATATTTATGGCACAGAAATCAGCTATATCAAACTTTAGATACACCAACAGTACTTGTTAGTAGGATTAAATAATAAATATTTTAAGTATTTAAAGATTTTACAGAATAGCTTCTCTAGTCAAACTGTAGCCAAAGTGAGATGAATATTAAAGTGAATGTTACTGCATTCATGACTTCCTTCACTTGTCCAGACCTCATTTACTGCTAATAATATCTTTTTAAAAGAGTATGTGAAGGAAAGGGGAAGAAATGTAATACAATTTAAATGTGCAAGCAGCCTTTTCTGTTTTGGCTGTTGAATAGAAAGTTATAATACAGCTTTACTACATTGTATCATTACATGTACCTCAGTGTAACATGTACTCACTTGAATGCTCTGGAGATCGACCCTGCAGTTGGACACCATGTTCACGAAGTGATGTACATTGTGCTTATCTAGAAGAATGTAGACGGCAACATTCCTCATGGCAGCATTGAGAATATCCGCAAACATGTCAACATCAGTAAACACGTCCATCACTATAGCAATCACCTGAGGACATAAAGGACCAATGTAAAAACAACAGTCAGGAGAATGAAACTTGAAAAACAAATGTGGCATTTCTTAAAGAAAGAGAAAGATCAACCTGCTGAGCATTCTTGATAAGTCGTCTGGCCTGCTCCTTGATACTCGGCATGTCAGGCTCAGGGGGGTTGACCAGAGTGGTGACCTCTGTCGGCCCAATGAAGTGATGCAGCTGAGGCCAGCCAAGGTCCAAACCTGGGGCGTCCAGGTCAGAGTGAATTGGCCAGTAAGTGTCTGAGGAGCCATCTACCCCAGTCTCCAGAAAATGTTGTTCAGGGTGGCTGCTCTGCTGAGGGACCTGAACAGAGCTCTGAATATACTGAATCTCAAGTGAGGACAGGAAGTCCACCACATCTGCCTTTTCAAGGAACTGATAGTATCCCTCCAAGTCCTCCTCAATCAGTGCGTCAATCGCCAGGCGGTACTCTTCCCGATAGTGAGGAGGGAGGTAGTTAGGGTCCAAGGGGTTATCCCCAGCAGAGGAACACTGAGAGCGACGCGCCATACTGTAGTCTAAAGAGAGGGTGAGGGCAAAAGGAGACATGATTAATTTAAAGTATACAGTATGAATAATGTTCACACTGCACGTCTATTTCAGTGTCATAGTTCTGAATGACAGTTTAATTAGAGCTGAAACAAATCTCAAATCTATGTCTATATGATAGTAAAAGTTCAAATATCTTTATGTTTTGGATACTTTGTCCAACAAAAGACATTTTGTTGGACATCACTTGGGCTCTGGGAACTTGTGATGGAAATTTTATATGGACATCTTATAGGGCTAAACAATTAATCGATAAAAAACTGGCATAGTTTATTGTCTTCCAGAGTAATTATATATGATCACATCCTTTGGTCATTTTACATACCTGTTGTTATCCATGTGAATGATTACATGCGATGTGATTAAAAAAGAATAAAATACGTTTTTTGTTTCACATGTTTGAAGCGTTTTGTCAGATGTAGTGCAGTATCTCATATGTGATTTTGCATCCATTTGCAAAAGTCTACTTTGATATATATTAGTATCAGGAAAAAAATCTCTTATTAAAATGATATTTATGTCACCAAGCCTACAGCAAATTTTAGCCTAAAAAGCTTGAATCAAAGGGTCCAGCTCATTCTGCTCAAATCTGCAGTTACAAGAGACGTTGCACTTACTACAGGGATCCTCTCAGTTATATTTCTGTAGGAGCAACAATGGATGAGAGAAGGTAAACTGTAACCACGGGTTATATGGGTTAAGGGTGTGGCTCCTCCCTCTGGCCAGAAACCCAACACACCATTTGCAAGTTCATGTAAAGCCACAAATATGAGAAGTGCTGATGGGAAACATAACAGGCCAAATAAAACAGCCCCCCCTAAAAAAACCATCAACAGACAAGTCAGAACAACGAACTTCAGAGATTAAATAACTCCAACAAACGGCTGTCGGTCACTGTTGAGTGCTTTAAGTCCGTAACACTGTAGCACAAGTCAATATGCAGTGTCCATATGTTCATATCCCAAACTCTGCATCCACGTAAAACCGTAGCCTTCAGGCCTACTTTCGTCAACTTACCTCCGCTGATATACTCGTCAGGATCTTTGTCGGTTAAACTTTAAACCAGTCATCTTGCCTTCTTCACCATGTTTTTTCTTCACATCTGCGTCGCGCTTTCAATCCAGGTGGGACTTGTCGAAAGTTCTGCGTACCAGTGGTTTTCCCCCCGTCACCCAGCTAAACCAGTTTATTGTCATGCTTGAGGCGTGTTGGCGAGAATATTTGAGCCAGAGAGCACACGGGGAAAAACTGCTGTCGACACTCAACGCCCCGCCTCGGATTCAGTGTAGCTCCGGATTTTGTTCACTTCTGCTCAGCTCTGTGTTCATGCATGTCCTTCCCATAGACTGTATAAAACAGGTCCTGACTGAGGAAACTGAACTCTGCACATCTGTTATCTGTCTCCTGAAGCTAGTAGGCCTACTGCTGATATCAACTCTGATGAAACCACTAACGTTGCATCAGGTAATGCACCCTAAATGCCCTAAATTAAGGTAAATATTTTAGGCCTCTATAAGTTTCCGTTTAGTTTTTGTGTACATGGTGCATGTTCCAAAATACATTTTTGCTCAGTCAAATCACCATAAACTCATTATTCGCTTTTGCATATATGAAAAATGGTGGTCAGTATGCTCAGGGGCCCCATAACAAATGAATCCAGTCCTGCTTAAATGGTGACTTATTGGACAATATTTTGAAAGGGGGTGGCACCTAATTATAGGCATTAATAAATCATACCTAATCATGATTAAATTTGGAGAGGAAGTTGAACAACACTAGAGAATTACATTTAATTCTTATAGGCTATTGTGATTTTCATCAGTACTGGAGAGGAAATTGTAACTGGAGTGACTGGGAAAAGTGAAAAACAGGTTACAGATCACCTCGTCAACTGTAGTCTCATGAGTTTTGCCCATAGACCCTGTTCCATTTACATACACAATGACATCTATCATTACACTGGGGCAAAATGTTCCAACCTGCAGAACAGTTTGAATGAAAAGACCAATGAGATGCTCAGAAGTGGCCAGGTAACAGAACTGCACTCAAAATGGGAATTCTATCAGACGACCAACCTCTAGAAAAAAGTGTTGTGTGGCATTTGTGTGGCTTTGAGGTTTGAAATACCTGGACGGATAATGTGTTAACCAAACCACTTAATGTGATGAGCATATCAGAAAACAATAGAGGTACTTAGTGAGGATCATTACTATAAAGTCTACGCTGATGTCCTTTGATGAAGGTGTAGTCTAGTAACACAAACAAAAGAGCAGAGCAGGCTTCTTCTGCCAACATGGTGTCAACATGCCATCTTTTGTTTCTCTTTATGGTTCATTAATAGTCTCTCTTGTACCATTAACAAGTATCTTACCAGACAGGCTGTGAAGTATCTTTACTTTGTGCTTCAGTGAGAGTGTTTATGTGGAAACCTAGAGCAAGGCCATCTGTATTTCCAGGATAGGACATATTCTTTGTAAAAACCATGAAAGGAGAGAGAGAGGGGGCACTAAATACACTGATTTTCCTTTAATGGTTTCTCCAAGACCTAAAATAGCCTGGTCAGGATGAAATCTGATGTAACTAAAATAAAAGGAAGTGATGAAACACAGCTGCTCAAGTGAAGACTAGAAGACAATCCCTCTTTGTTCCCTTCAGGCACCACCCAACTCACACAGAGGATCTACTGGAATAGAAACATCAAAATTACTGTTCTCTGAGTTTACAGATAGTTGCTACACTACATACCACAGGGCAGCATTCACCGCTGCACGCTTTAACCCCTGTAGCTCTCTGAAAAACATGCATTTGGTGTCCTGCCTTGTGGTTTTGTGACTGACAGCTTTGATTTCGAAACACGAACTTGGCCAAACACTGAGTCAGAGCTGGAACCCTCCCCCTTCATAAAACATCTCCAGCAATGTACGAATCAAATGCACAAAGTGTAGCTTATATGATTTATATGATAACACAATGTCCTTCAGAATTAACCATTATTGTGAAAGGTGAACAAAGACACAGTACCCTTTGTGGTAAACACATATGGACAACAGAGTAGATTAGATTATACACATGGAGACCTTGTAGTATATGGTTTCCTCTGAGGGCTGTCCTTCCATATACCACTACTGTAATAAAAGACTATTATCCTGCTGAATAACTGTCGGCTGTTTTTATAATTGCTTTTATATTAATGTATATTGTCTGCTACGTAAGACTAGGGAGTTACAAACTCAGTTTTACTCTACAACCTGTTGTATTGTGACAAATAAATCTACCTTGTACCTTGTACTTTGTACCTTGACATCTTTCACACCAATGCAGATGTGACAGATGCCAAACTGACAGGCTTGGGCTTCAGCGACCATCCAGTCATCAAAACATAAGCATTATAGTTCACCAATAAGTACGTGTTCATTCTTTGTTTATAACATATAGGCTAACAAGGCTTTTGTCACACTGACAAGGAGATTGTCACAGGAAAAGGAAAAGCATGGGAAAACAAAGGAAAAGGGAAGAGCAGCAGCTGCAGAATCCATCTGGTGCGTCATTTGATGGAGTGGACAGGAAGTCTTAACAGTTCTCAAGGAGGTGAGATCACACTTGCCTGGAGAGATGATGAAGGGGATTCAGTTGAGATTGTACAATTCTCGGACATGATTTAAAAAGTGGAGGAGAACTCATTTAATTTGATTTTACATTAGTAGTGAATGTGTGAGACACCACCCTTATCATTAAAGGAAAGACAGGCCTCTATATTTGTCACTTGGAGAGGGCATGGCAAATTCCACAGATAATTGAATTCCCACAATATTTTGTCTCTAAGAGATAACTGTTCACTTTTCCGTCCTCCTGTCATGGAGGTTGATGGCAGGGATCACCCTGCAGCTTTTTGTCAGAGGAAGTGTCCAGCCAGAGATCATCATCTCAATGGTGGAGAAAGGAGCAGACATAAACAAGCAGGTGAGACAAAAACAGCAGCAGTAGAAACAGAAGGCTCTTGCCAGTGTGGAATGTATAGGCACACAGCAGTATGTGGGTGTGGAACGATTTCAGGTTGTGTTTAAACTAAGGTGCATTTGGACAGGCACCTCTCTTTTAAGTTGTATTTGGAGGCCATGTTGGGAGCGACTGCTACTGAGTGCTGACCTCATCCCACACGACAGGTGTACTGTAGCAGCAGGTGTGTATTTGTATCTGATTTGACTGTCATTTTGCTTGTTGACAGCGTTTGTATATTTAGGAGGGCATTCTGTTCAGTGTATCAGGGTGGTTATTAGAGATTCGTGTGTCTGCATGCTTGTGTGCACCTGCAAGTGTGCGCGCGCAATCACATTAGCATGCATGCTTGTGTGTGCCTGTCATTGCATGTGGCGGGTCGCTACAAGAGAGGCTGCTCTTGGAAAAAAAAAGAAGAAGAATAGGAGAAAAAGTAAAACAGAGGCTTTTAGTGATCTGTGAGATACACAACCAGTTCTGACCCCACCCAGACTCATGTTGGTTGAAGCGTTCCATAATTCATTGTTTACAGTTTCATTCTTTCACAGAGTAAATTTACATAGAGTAGATGGAGAATAGCTGCAATGACATCATAATTGCTACCTGACTGTAGAAAAGATGTAGTTGAAAAGGACAGGGAACAGCAACTGTGCTTTACATTTTGCAATGCTGTCTTCCTTCCATCAGTTTTTGTTTTTTGCCTGATTTCTTTCCAGTTCTATTGTATTGTATCCCGTGGCACATCCTGCAGCTACAGCACATACTGGAATATCCTGCACCGTGTCAGGGACATGTGTCTCAGAATAGACATCATAACCCCCCCCCCCAATACATCTTAGATGCAAAGACAACACAATGGTCTGCCTTTTCCCTCGGCCTAAAGGGAGAGGTGGAGCAACATAAATGACAACTTGATCTCAGAGTGATATAGCTCAGCATCTGGATATAATGTTAGCATAGTTAATATAGGGAAATATGCTTGACATAGTGATATCACTCTTATCTTTGTGGGTGAACCCTGTGATTCGTTCGCAGACAGAGCCTACACAGAACTGAATGAGCAGATCTCTGAATGCAACAACTGTGCAAAGTAGGACATGGATTTATCAGAGAGTCACATTTCTGCCACTTGTTTGTCTGCTCCATGCTGACTTTCTTTCATATTTCCAGTGACCTTTCAGGATGTGTCATTTGCTTTTGTCTGCTTGTGGTTAGCTGGTTCGTGGCATTGAAGTCGTGTTGGCAAAGGCTCAAAGAGCTGTATAACAAGCTGCTGAACTACTAACTGTGCCAAGTTAGCACTCGGGGTTGTCGGGTATGGGCTTATACTTGTGTATAAAATGTTGGTATAGGTTAAATAGAAACACCCAGTTTTATAGATATTATAGAGTTTCCCTTGTTCAGATGCTGTCCTCCTGGAATGTGGTGGGATTTGTAAGATCCAAAAAGATCCAGGTCAGAGATATGATGTTACTGCATGAGAGAGTGAGCTTAGTGTCGTTCTCACATTAAGTTTCAAAACAAACATCAAAACAAGCTTTGCTAAAGTTGAAATAAAATTATTTTTTTGGCTGTAGATCGCCTTGTCTGGTGGAGTCTTCTATCAAGGCTCCATTTACCACAGATATGTAGCCCGGAAATCTTTTTTAAATATAGGCTTGGAGAAACTCATTTGTTTTCTTTATGCAGGTAAAATTTTTGAGGATTGTGGGTTCCTCAGATGACTCTCATTGAGCCAGAACTACATTCAGGTTGAACTGCATTGAGAAGCTCTGCCTGGTCATGACATCCAAACAGAGCTACTCCCCGGACAGCCTATTCACAGCATTTTATTCTGTTGAGGTCATTGTGCCTGGGGCCAAAGTTTAGCAGCGTAGCAACATTTTGGCACCTACTGTAAGAATCAAAGAGGTGAAGTGCAGCGTAGATTCATTTTCAAAAATCCACATAAAATATCTCTTGAGAATATTTGTATTTTTGCAGATTTTGGACCGCCAAAGTTCGGCAGATAGAAAATCCCCATAAAAAGACATGTGGCTCTGTGAGGAATGCAGACACATATGTGGTCTGTCCAACTGGGTGCAGAGTGGAAGATTACAGTGAATCCCTAATAAGTGAATATGCTGTGGAAGGCAACGCAGAAAAGCTGCGTAACAGTTTAACTGCTAATATTTAGAGTGGATCATGTTTTCCCACAGTTTAAAAATTGTTTTTTCATGTTAAAAGATTGATTTTTGTAATCTTTTTGTCTGGCCATTAGGATAGTAAACAATGGAGATGAGCTTTAATGGGTTAGATTTTCTGGTGGAAGTGAATCCACTTTACAATGGGTTTGGTTGGAATACCGTGAGTATAGATTAATTGACCTGGACTATAGATTAATTGACCTTTCCATTGTGTTAATGTTATACACTAACTTCCTCAAAGCTCACAATCAAAA